AATAAGTGCATTATGTGAAGTATTATAAAGTGTATGAAAAATTTGTGTCTGAATTGGATTAAAATGGGAAAATCTCTTGCCACATATTTCTTCTAAAATTTCATCATGAAGAGCGGTTATTGGCAAAGGTTGTAAATCCAGCAAATCTGTATATCTTGGATATTTCTCCGGTAGTATCAAGTGCTTAAATGAAATTGGGACCCTTTTCTCTGCACCAAGCCAGCGATCAGAAACAGCATAAATATAAATTTGTGCAGGTAAAGGTTCCTGAACGGGAATTGTGAACCCAATCTTTTGAGTTTCGCCAAGTTGCTTACGACCAAGCAAAAAATATTCTGAATGATAAATCTCGACATCATTCGAATCAATAACCAATATCCACCACGGTTCAACAGGGCCATGAACACGATCATTCCAAACAAAATCCGGGGTTATATAAAGAGTAATACGCAACACATTACTCGTAATAGGAGCAATCTCCGGTTCTATATTAAGCATCGGAAATTGATCCACACATTTGGCAATTATAGTGCCCATGCGCACATGATGAACTAATTGTCCAAGTTCAGTTGGATCCATGTCTCTTAATTCTTCTATAGAAGCTTGGTGCGGATGAGCTTTTAGTTTTGAAATGATATCAACAGGAAGCCCGAATTGAGCAAGAGGATGTTCATCCATCCACATTTTTTTGTCGATAGCCTTACATAAATCAAGTAGCTCAAAGGTGACATTACTCCAGTTACGATTGAGAGCAATTTCAAATAAGGCACGCACAATGCGTTTGGCATTTTGGATAACATATGATGAATCTGATACTAATGCGAAATCTTCAAGAGGCAGCTTTGATAAATAAGACTGCATGAGGATATTGACTTTACCAGCAGTTGTATCTAAGGTTTGCTAAAGCATATAAAACACACCAAATTATTAAATAGGCTTTTAATATGTAAATTTAGTAATTAATATCACCAAAAGCATTACTAATAATCACCTTTATCTTGTATCCTCGCTTTTCTTCCAACATTTTCAGTTCTTTATATTCATTCTCTCTCGATTTAATATTTGCAAACTCACTGCTCAAACTTATCATAGCCAAAACATCTGCTGTATCCATTTGTTGTTTCATTTCCCGATTAAATATTTCAATGCTCGAATGCCCAATATAATAATTAGAAGCTATACGTCCCAAATCTTTAGCATTAAGAAAACCATTTTTCTCATCAAATTTTATCATTTGATTTTGATAAAGTTTTTTTGCTGCGATAATCACTAATTCCCTGCGGCGTTGTAAAAGCTCCGGATCATTTATTGGTGTTTCATGATCCATACCATAGACCAATGGATTTTTTTTCATACGCACAAATAAATATGTGTAGCCTAGCCACGCGATAGCTTCATCGACACTAGTTACAGTGCCTAAAGAGATCTCTGCATTGAGATTATCTACCATGCTCATAATAAACCTTGAAAAGGGAAATGTACATTAATAATAATTCAAATGATATATGAAAATGCTAAACTTACTTTGATTCGATAGCATGTTGTTGAGTCATTGCTGATACGTAATGAGATAATTTATCTTGTGTTGTCAAAATATATCCAACACCATGACTCTCATACTATGGAAACACGGTGAGTAAAAAACGATAAGTTGTAAGAAATTATACTAACAAGATATTTTATCCATATTAATTCAAACCTGCGGACGACCAGCTCTACCAAAAATTTGTAATACATCGAGAATAGACAAATCAACAAAATTTCCCCTTGATGCGTCATAAATTTGAGTACCCTTGATAACTACCGCGTAAGCAGGTAAATTTACACCCCAAGCCAATGTAGCAGTACAGCATAAAACCTATATATTATAGATAGGAAATTAAATAAAGTTAATTGCAAACTTAAAGATTTTTTAATAGTCATACCTTAAGGACTCCCTCGGCAAACATGTTTTCTGTTAAGACCCTATCTTGTCGGAGCATTCCTGCATGATGGATGCCAAAAGCATTCGAAAACAATTCATTCAATTCGCGATTCCTCGATTTAGCGACCTCTTTTTTAAATTGCTCAAACCTATGATGCTCTTTATTGTCAAACAGGTCTAAATTTTGGGTATTGAAATTTTTTAGCTTTAATGATTCTAAGAAAGTGAATTTGTTCTCAGTTAATTATACCTATATGTCCTTCTGTAGTAGCCATTTCACGTAGCATTTGGGCTGTTTTGACTGTATCTTTACGCGCATGTACAAAGACCATGACTTGATGTCCAGCTTTCACGAGACCAAGTACCTTTGAATTACAACTTAATAAGCTAAAAGTTTCTTATTTTAATCGCCGTCATGAAATAAATAATCTCACCTTCTCCCAGCATACTCGATTTAGATTGTTATTTGATGTTGTGGTGCCAGCTTTACCTTTCACACCTATAAAGTGCTGTGCAAGCGGCACTGGACGATATCCAGCATCAAAATAATATAATCCACGCATTACATTGACTCTATAAACAAGGAATGGTTAATCAAACTACATTTTTTGATTTGGTGACAAAAATTAAAAAGCAACATACCCCAAGAAACGTGCTACGTCTACATAATTTGGCAATGTAGCGGATAATCCTATAACACGAATCATAGTCTGACTGGATTCAACCTTTAATAAAAAAATGTTAATAATTCACATTAAAGGTAATTTTTCTTGGTATCTAATCAAAATTACCTGTCTTGCGGTACGAGCAACGATGCTTTCAAGAACTGCTCCACGATCATCATGAAGTAAATGAACTTCATCAATGATAAGTAATTTCACTTTCTATAAAAAAAATAGAACGTAAAGCAAAAGTTCAGAATAATATAAAGAATATCCAATCCAAAATATTACCTGCGCAAGTTCAATATCGCCAGTACTTTTACGTGTAACCACATCCCACTTTTCTGGGGTCGTGACTAAGATCTGGGTATTTGAAATTTCCGCTTTAGTCAATTGCATATCACCTATATTTATTATTTTGTTATTGTTGTTTTTATTGTTATTACTATAATTCAAATTACAGTCGATTCCCTCTAACTGCACGTTCTCTTAAGTGCAGGTACTATATTAATTCTCCATTAAGTGCAGATTTTGAAAAATCTTTTTTTTTTAGTCACAAGTATAGCTCTATAAGTCCTCTCTAAGTGTTGTTTCTCTATAAATGCAATAGTTTGTCTTTTTTTTTTTTACTAAACAGTCCCATCGAAATGCACTTGGAGGGAGTCGACTATAGCATGAAAAAGATAATTTATAATGAAACAACAAATACCTGTTAATTCCCTAACTTGAATGTTTAGCCAAGCCAATCGACTACCCATCTTCTTGACAATCTCGGCAGCTAATGCTTTCATAGGCGCCACATAAACAATTTTAAATTCATTTTTAGCTATTACGAATTTCTGAGGTTCTGATGATTTTGAAGGGGTAGGAAGACAATATTGCGAGAGTGTGTGCAATATGGCTAACAGTGCTATGTCAGTTTTACCCTTTAAATAAAAAAAATTTTTAGATGATAAAATTTAATGAATAATTAACATTTTTAAAATATTAATTGAATAGTAACTACTCACAGCTCCGGTAGGTGCACATATCAGCATGTTTTCATTAGATTCATAAGCACAAGGATAAACAATTGATTGTATACGATTCAAAGATCTGTAGGCCTAATTATGAACCATATTGTCAAATAAATTTTTCTTAAGGGGTTAGAATCCAAAATATTATTAAGAGCTTCACCTTAAATGTCCCTTTACACAAATTGTCCATGTCTTCCAAGAGGATCAATTTTTCGTCTCGAGTAGGCGGAGATTTTTTGGTGAGTGGTATTATTATTTCCTCATAATTCTGTGATAGAAAATCATGAATTTAATAACTTTTAAATCAATTTTTAATAGAATTCTATTGATTCTCTTACAGATTCTTCAAATCGCTGTGTGCCGACGGGCACAGAAAATCGTGTTCCATATATAGATAAGACATTGCCTGAATGCGATGTTGAATAAACATGCGGCAATTTCTGTTCATTAACCCCTTTCTATATAAACATTTTAAAGAGCCAATGTATCTTAGTGATTATCCATAGAAAATTGTCAAATGTTTATTAAATATATTTACATATTGCGGAACCATTTGAGCTGCCGCAGCGGCGGCGCGTAATTGATCTTCTCTTTTTCGCCGCAGCTCTTCTGGATTGAATCCTAATATGCTTGCAGATATTGCATCTTCTTCCTCTAAAATCACATTTTTTTGTAGAAACATAATTATATATCTTAATTATCGAAAGAATTGGAAAACCTAGTGAGCATCATGATAGATACCAGATGTTTTTTGCTTTGATTTCTTTTGTTCTTTTCTTAATTGTTTCATTTCTCGTATTTCAGCTTCAGATTGAACCAAAATTTGCGTACCATAATGTGGACGTCTTGGTTCATTTAAGAGAGGTTGAGTTTGGGTTAACAAAGTGCCTTGAGCCTTCTACGATAATAAATAATTTATATTATTTAGAGGTATCAGAAAGATTTACTTAAATTGAAGAGCATATACCATATCATTCAGCTTGTTATATTTTGATTGATTTCGAATATTTTCCAAGATTTTGGTGCGATTGCACAATAATGTGCTCACAAGTTCAACATTATCATATCCAATTAAATCAACCAACGAATTCTCAATATCTTTGTCTTTTGGTGAAGGACGGATAGAAAGTTACAAATTAAGATATCTCTACTGAACAAAGTAGATAGAACCAAAAAGAATGTCTATTTTCGCTCACCCTCTTTTTCAGAACGTAGAATGGTAAAGATGTTTGTGCACAACTTATCCGGTTCAATTGCAAATTTTTTGTCACGACTCATCTCTGTATGCAATTTACACTGACTCCATGAATTTTTTAATTTATATTTTTTAATATATTATATTGAAATTTTTTCCTTTTAAAAATCAATTTCCCAAAATTGTATAAAAATTGATATGTACTATAATAACCAATCTCTATCAAATGCTTCTTTTCCAGAAATCATCTCTTGCGCGTATAAATAGTTAGACTCATAATTTTCTTCATCAATAGCATCATTGTCTGAAAAATCATCATAATAAAACGATGTCGGGAGACTATTATATTCTATATCATTTCCAAATTCTCCTTGATCAGATACTGTTTGCTCGGCTATAAAAATAGACCAACCACAAAAAATTAATCAAAGTTTCTTGAGAAGAAAGCAAACTCTTGATCAAACAAGTACATACACTCAGAGACACTAAAAGCCCGATGAAATATTCGGATTACATAAAAAGTTAGTAATGATGAATTTATCGAAAATAGAGAAATTAAAAATATTCTACCTTTTGTTTTGTTGCAAAAATTCAGAAAATCTTGCAAGAGTTTCCTGCCATTCTTGGTGAGCTCTATCTAAATTCTGTAACATAGTGCTGGCAAAATCAACAGTTACCGACTTCCCTTTTCCCTTTCCTTTACTGCTCGAATTGGCATTTCTCAAAACATCAGAAAGGCGTACGACAGTAATTGAATCGTCAACTAACATTGTTTGAACTTGTCAAGAGAGAAAAAATTTACACGATTTGTGGCTTTGATCAAGCCAATTTTTTACTGTGGCCATCTAAGACACTAGATCACGTTTCCTTGATGATGACCTGACTTAGGGCTCGTCTAAAGCGGGGGCAATAATGATTGGTTAGAACATACGAACGATGATTAGCCAGAAAATGTATAGTGTGGCAATGTAATGTTAATACTACAAGGTAAGAATTTTTGTATGAATTTAAGAGTTTCATTTATCGTTACAAATACATGTAATATGATAAATTTTTATAAGAGACTATTAATAATAAAATATCAAAATATATATTTAATAATTTTTAAAATAAAGAATAATATTTAATAAGTGCTCTCAATTTTGTGCTTGTCTATCATTGAAAAATATTATCAAGTCAATAGATCATCTTATTTAAATTCTTATAATTCTAAAAATTCAAGTTATTTAAAGATGTAAATATCAGAAGTCAGATATTACACTTGTATATCACTTATTCACTTAGTCTTTTACTTTTGCTTGACTCCTATTCTTGTTCTTGTTTATATTTACTTATCTTTTACTTTTTATTATATTTATTAGTAAGTGATATAGTATTAATGAAACAGATAAAAAGAATAATAATCTAGCTATCAATTAGATTATATATATATATAGTTATAAAGTAACTGTAAAAAATAATATTATAATTGTAAAAAATAATAATGAGAATAATAATAATAATAATTGATAATAATAAATTTTAATATATATTTATTAAAGTATTAAATATAAAAATAAATTTTTTCTTGATAGAATTATATATATTATTTTTACCTAATAATAATAGTATATATATAAATATATATTGAAATTTAAAAAGAAAATTATAATAATAAAATAATTATTAATCAAATACTATTATTACTATCTATATTTATAAGTATATATTATAAGCCAAAGTATTATATATTAATTTTATTTAAATTATTATAAGTATGAGAAATAATAATTAATTATATTAAGAAAACAAATAATAAATTTATCAAAAATGATAATAAGATAGAAAATTTGAGAAAAAATTTGAAAAAACTATTTTTTCTCTTACAAATTATATTATTAAACTATTATATTATATTATTATTAATAATAATAATAATCAATATATAATTCAAAAATATAATAATATAGAAGTTCACAATGTGAAATAATTTTTTAATATATAAGAGATTAACTCTAAATTTATATAAGAAATTGAAAATAAGATTTTAAAGCTGGATATTTATTTATATCATCTTAATTATAATTAAAATACTATATACAAATTAAGTCAGAAAAATATATAAAGATAATATAATTAAAGAAAATATTATTATATCATATTTAAAAATATTATCTCAATTAATTGTAACTTACAATAGCCAATCAGATAATTATAATTAATTGTAACAGCTAATTAAAGAATTATGATCAAGTTATAATATTATTTTTAATTATATTATTATATATTTTACAAAAAACTTTACAAGAAATAAAATATGTTTAATATATATATAAAAAATATATGAATATATAATTTAAACTTTATATTATAAATTATTTAATTATCTAATAATAATTTTATATGATAAATTATTAATTAAGTTATTTATTAATAATTATTCTTATTTTATTTATATAAGCTGCTTTGTAATATATGAAGACTATTTATATATTTAGCTAGAAAAAGAAAAATAATTAGTTTTATATTTATAATAAGAATAATATAATATTAATATTATCTTTATTTTGAAGTTATTTAATAAATAGATTAAATAAACTATTATATTAGATAATAAAATCATAAAAATTAGTTTACTAAAAGAGTTTATTAATATTTTTAATAATCTTATTATAAATATATTCAAAATATAAAATATTATTAATACATCTTTTATTATTTCTATAATTCTAAGTTTTTTTTTAATCAAAATAATATTTATTATTAAAAAATTGATATTAATAAAGAAGTATAAGTAATATAATTAAAAATTATTATATATAAAAATTTTAAAAAAATACTTACTTATTCTATATTATAAGTATGATCAGAATTTAAATAAAAATTATTATCACTTTGTAAGATTATTTTATTAATAGTTATAAATAAGATAAAATATAATATAAATAGTTTTAATTTTATAACTTATAAT